GAAACAAAGATAGTTGATAAAAATCATATTGTGTTTGATATTTTCAAATATACATATGTTAATTGTAGTTCGATCCACAATTGGCATGCAATATTATGTTTTGTATTTTGTACTTGGTCATATATTTTCGAACATCAACTGGTATTCCTTTTCCATTGAAGGCCTCTAACAATTCCATATTTGTTCAAATTAAAAGCCAAGTAAAAAATTGGTGAGGATAATAAATCGTATCCTCTAGAGTGTGTTTAAGGGCCATTATGGTCCTCTTGTCAAGACAAAAGAACGTTATGGAAAATAAACTGACACATTTATACATTTATAAAAGAACGCGAATGGCGTTGTTTTAAGCTAGTTTTATCATTAATTCTTACAGTTTGTATAGACGTAATTTCCAAATAAGGTATCAGTTGCATCTGTTACAGATAATGAAACAATTTATAACTAAATGATCTGGCAACTTTATACACTGTTTCAAACATATGACTACAAGTACTACAAAGTATATATCTAACAGTTCTATCTTTGTGTTTATGTATACATGTGTTTGTTTCATTTTTAAATTGGCTTTTTTTGTCAAATAAATTATGACCCACTTTCTTCAAACAAATGAAAAACAAGACGTATCTTTAAAAAAGATACTCGGACGAGGTAAAACTGCTTTTATTTGCATGGTGTCTTTCAGTATGCAAATGCTGCCTTGTCATTTTAGAATCTCATTTAAAGCTCAGTAAAGTCTTATGTTGAATGAGATATTCACTAGAGAATTAATGATTTTTTAAAGCAGTGTAACATATTTATTTGGGTAAGTTCACAGATCTCAAATGTCCAAGACAATTATCTATAGTGCGTTTCCCAAACTCCTTTAGATTATTTTAAAATTTGGACATTTATACTATACGTTTCAGAAAGATCCTTTTGAATATTTTACTAATTTAAGAATGGCGAATGGAATTCTCGGATTTAAGTTAGCAATTTTAAGATAACCAACGAAATCCTTCTAATATTCAGTTCTTCCCTGTAAATTTTACTGGAAGTTAAACCTATCTCAGAAAGGAAATAGTCATTTCCGGTATTCAAAATATACAAAAAACGAAACCAAAATACCATATTTAAAGATTTCATTTTTTGTGAATAAATTAAAGAAATTATATATGCAACAGGCATTTCTAAACTGCTATAACTAAAGTTAAGATATATGTTCTAATATCTTCTAATATCAGTATTTTTAAGTTCAAAGAAGGCAATGACATATGGACACTACAATATTAATTTTACCTTGTAAATAAAATACACTAATAAAATACTTATACCATTGGCGTGAATCTATAAATCAGTTAAGGTATGAGAATTGTTTCCTTTTTCTTATTTATTGTTTGATTTTATTAACCTGTTAAATACATACTGATACGATCAATGCAGACAATATATTAATCTTCGATACATTTTCGGTAAGTTTCAGGCGATGTACGCAGTTATATGTGATTAAATTTAATTTGTGCCTATAAACTATTTAAAGTTATATTCCTGGTCAAATTCATCAAAACAGATTGTCAAATTAACGCCTTATTGTTATCAAATGCATTATTTAACTAGTATTGACAAAGTTTTCCAACTTAGAAACGCTCTCCGTAACATTTCTGACCATTCTAAAAAATGCATTTTCTTATTTGACTGGGTTAGTCAAATAAGATTTATATTTTGGCGGAAAGCCCTTCGATTATTTCCGTAAATGTAATGCCATATTACTACGATGGAAGCTTGGCAATAGGTACGTATTATTTCTGGTACGAACCGATCATAAAGAACGGCTAATTTACCGATTTCAAATAACCACAGCAACCGTACGACATAGACATGACCAACGCTCCATCTTCTTGTTTACTGTAGATCTAGTGAGAGTCTCAGACTTTGTTCTTTTTCCGATTGTTTCGTAACGCGTTACGAGGATATAAGCTACATTCCTTAGCTAATAAATAGCTTTTCATATCGTTTATTAATTACAAAACATAAAATAAAATTGCATCCGTCATTTATATTATATCTCCTAATATCGGGGTCGCAAGTTTGTTGACGTTTCTAATTATAGCGTTTCCGAACTTGTTTCTAATTATAGCATTTCCGAACTTTTCCGTATGCAAATGAGTTAATTCCGAATGAAACCGATCGGGCCCGAGAGCTTTTACAAATGGCGGGGATTTCAAAAACTGGCGATATTATATCCAGTTGCATCCGAGTGTTTCGGCGAAATAAGATTAAAATTGTATAGCAGTTCATCATTAATGAGGATATACTTATGGTTTAGGTGATAATTTCTGAAAACTAAGTTGTAGGGTAAAATATCATCGTTGAACGGTATTTTAACTTTAAAATTAGCGCGCTGAACAACGGGTTTTTAATTTAAAAATGTCCCACCTGTTGTATGACTGAGACATTAATATCTTAAACATTATTGAAGCTATGACTGTTTCTTTTTTATGTTGTTCGTTTTGTTTTAATATGTTTTGCACGTATTTTGGTAAAGCCTATACTCTTTTTATTATAAATAATTTTGTAAAAGCATCAATATTCATTCGGATTAAAATCAATAAAATGACATTTCAACGTCGTCAAGCACAATATAAATTGACTAAAAAGTTTTTCTCAGTTGCATCATACCCGTGTTGACAATTTTGCAACCACTCGACCAATTCTATTAAAATATACTGCAAAATAAAGAATAGTTCTAAAATAAATGCAACGGTAGGGATAAAAGCACATGTCTCTCATTTCTTAGGCAATCACTTTACATGACTTATGAATTAAGTTATCTAATCCATGTTACTTCTCGTAAACTACAGCGATAGAACCGAAATGGTATCGAATATTTAAATGAGTGTTATTATTTATTCATAATTGCATGTCAATAAAATAAGACTATATGCACATACTAATAATGGTTAATTGCACAATTTGCTGTTTATAATTATATAAACCTAGCTTGTTTTTTCCAATACATATAATATGATAAAAGAAGTACAGTATATATTATGTAAAGTGAAGTATAAATAACAAAATCGTCTTACATAACTAATTATTTGAAAGAAAAAAAAAATAATGTTAAAACGATTGTTGTCCGCTTTTTTAAAATCGTGAATGGCTTGGTCAATACAAATGTACATTAAAGCAGAAACTGATTTTGTCCGTAAAGGAATTTATCCTAAAACTTAACAATAAAACCCCAAGAAAAACATATAACAATCACACATATTTTGATAATTGGGGTCGTGATCTTGTATTCCTATCTGTTTTGGACCATCTTAAATAAACGCATTAGCTTCTATTTACAGTCATGCAATGATATAAAAATACATGCCTTAATTTACGTCTAATCATTAAGAATGTGCTAAGGTATTCAATTTTTTTTTTGCTGACTGAACAGATATTTGAAAATACTCCATACAGTCTGCCAGGTATATAGTGGAGTCCTTGGCCGATAAATTTTAAAATCGTTTCAGATAAAAACACTCGCCCAATATCGCTGTATGTTCGAATCTCGTTAGGAACTTTGAGTTCATTCATGTAAGGAAACTACCCAGCAAACTTATCAAATATTGGTGGTTCTTCTCAAGTGCGAGCAAGTTATTGAAATAATGCTAGGAGGGACACCAGAAGTCTTCCCCCAAAAGCAGGAAGTTGATCTTGTGTGTTTTTTTAAATGTCGCTGTGATTTAAAAGCAACAAAAGATTAGAAATAGTTCATTTGTTACAAAACGATTTGTAAAAACCCGCTATAAAAGTTGCAATTTTTTTATGCATAGTTTAGTTAAAATCTTGCAGTTCATTGTGTGAGACATAAATTGTCCTGTTTAACCAACCATTGTAATTTGCAATGGTATATTTGAAACTTATAAATGTTCTGTCCTATATTTTAACTTTACTTATATTCAAGATTTATTCAATGATTGATTGAAAACGTAGTAGTTTATTCATTACTCTATGTACGTTAAGAATCTTTTAAAAATGTTTTGTTTATACTCCAACGTATTTTCATTGAACCTAGGACTTCAAAACATGGTCCGTTTATACTTATACATGATTTGTTTGTTTGATTGGATTTTTACGTCACATCGACACAGTATAGGTCATATCACGACATTCAAGCTTTACTGGTAGAGGAAGACATCAGGTGCCCTTCCGTGCATTATTTCAGGCACAAACGGGCACTTGAGTAGAAAACAACCGACGTCCTTAAGCTAGCTGGATAGCTTCCTCACATGAAAGAATCCAAAGTCCCTGCCGGAATTCGAACCCACGGCGGTGAGGGGCAAGTGGTTTGAAGTCAACAACCTAACCACTCGACCACGGACGCCCCCACTTATACATGAACGCCTTGTGCAATGACAAAAGGATAAGGGTTTACAGTACTAATTCTTGTTTGGACAAAGGTTTCCCTTTCTGGTATTGTATTTGATTAAACTTATAAATGCTATGTCAATTGTAATAAAAGTATTTTCAGCAACTGAGAATTTGGACACGTAATTACTGTCATTATTAAATATTCCTTTCTGTCTTCTGAAAATAACCTTTGCAAGAAAAAGCATGCTTACTTCAACCGAGTATCATTTTTATGCTACACTGCCCATTTAAAAAATATAATGGAAGTTATAATAATAACAAACTTGTCTACTTGACATTCGTATGTCTTTTGTCCGCTTTGTTTTTCTTAACCTTCCGTTTAAGATAACAAATTTAAGCAAGCGCCAAAATGAAGTTTTTCTTTTATTTTAGATATGAAGTCTTAATATGACAGTTTTGCGCATTGTCTTGTCAATAAAGTTAGCATTTTTTTATCAAAAAATATTAAACCGGTATTGGGTATAGATTTAAGGCGGAGATGTAAAATCATTCTGTCTGTCAAGAGCTTCTTGAAAGAAAACTGACGTATGCTATTAGCCAAGATAGTCACGTGGCATATTTCCGCATGCGTATATAAACAGGGATTTGTACTAGCTCAATCACTTTGTTTTAGTGCTATAGTTTTCTTTATAACATATAAACGTTAATTTACTTTGAAGTTTTTAAAACAAATATAGTTATAAAAGGACTTTAGCTTCCGAAAGCACTAAGTAAAATGACGACATTGTCTTATGAGAGGAAACAAGTACAATTATTAATCATTCAGAGGCTTATTGACAAAAAAAACCAGGGTCAGTCTTTAAGTAAGGATGATATAAATTATTTTGTGAACTGTGCAACAGAACTTGAAACATGTAGTGATCAGAGTCCTGATAATGCTACCGAGTTATCAGAAGAGGAATATATAATAGGTTTGTATTTTACACCTTTCATGACCTGCTTTAATCTTTGTTTATACTCCAGTAAATGTTTTGTGCAATTTTAGAATCTTACTCCGTAATATTCAAATACGTGCATACTATGTGCTTTTGTTTATAATTTGTTTATAATTATTTTGAATTGCATATGTCGTTCCTAGTTCATATAAATATCCAAAGCAAAACTAAGTGAAGATAATAAGCATATGTTTGATAATATTATGTTAAATCATTAATGCGGTTTTTAGAATTTCATGTACAGAGACATTTTCATTAGTACTGTACAAACTGGCAAGATAAAATATTTTGATAGGTATTTTGCTAAACAGTTATACATATAAAATGATATTTAGTTATCATATCAAAATATATCGGAGATAATGCTTCCTTGCAATATTTATAAGAGAAAAATTGTCCCGGAAGGAAATTGGTCCTATAACACATAAATATATATCTACCAGTTGTGTGACCTGACAAATTTCGCATGTATAAATCTTCTTTTTACATAGTTGAAACCGTTTATGTGTATGCCAAAGACAAAGCGAGTGGTACAAAAGTTCTTGGGTTAAATAACCCAACCTTTGTATTATTTTTTATATAAACATTCTCCAATAATCTCGATTTAATCAATCATGTTTCAAATACAGTATAACAGTAAGCACACAATCCATACATTGTGCAACGTTAAATCGTTAGGTATGTATATTCATATTTTAAACGCTATAACTGAATCATTGAATAAAGTATTTTTGCATGTAGTTGAAGAGAAATAATCTTTAACGAGCATAATGTTTTTAAGTGATGGAAAAGGAATACGATCCATTAAAGGCATGACTGGCATTTGATCGCATTTGAAGGATTTGGGGGTTGTTATTGATATCAGCACAAATATTACTTTCGTAAGATATAACTATATTATGATTTAAGTACTTACAGAAAGGAAGTATGTTCATCAGTTTCAGGCACTCCTTGAAAGGCATTTACCAACACTCCATATTTCATTCGAGCCAAGTATATAAAAAATAAAAACAAGAAAAGTATTGATGCAAAGCATCATAGGCGACGCAAAAAAATTTGATCAAGTTTTGCACCTAAATACTAAACAAAAGATGTGTACTTTAGAGCAGTACCATTACATGTGACCTTGAGGCTAGGACCCTGTTTCAGTTGAAAGTTGAACCCAAAAGAATAGACTTTGTCATGCCAAGATGCAAAGACAATTTATAGTCAATTAACAAATCTTATAAGACTCATGCCATAAGATAGAATTTCTTCAGATTTATTTTACTAGATACAAGGATACCGGAGTCATCAGCAGATAAAAAGCTTATAGCTTAGGGTTGAAGACATGTAATTGACATAATATTAGACATAAAAAGAGGACCTAAAATGAACCTCAGGGGACACCATAGGCACTTCGGAGTAGTAGTAGAATGAGTACCAGCCACATCCACCAGCTGCTGTCTATCAGAGATATGACTTGAATCATGTAAGAATGTCATTACCTATGGTAGATGCATGAAGTTTCATGAAGAAGAAGGAAAACTTCTTCATGTGCAGTGTGATCAACTGTATCAAATGCCTTTTGTAGATCTAAAACTATCATGCAATACTGCTTTTGTCCATTTCAAATTTAATACAATCTGTTACATGAATTAAACATTTGTCAGTTGAAAAACCACTTCTAAACCCTGAATGAAACTACCTGACCATCGACTCAACCCATGACTGCCAGAAGACCATCTGAGCTATCAGGCCGCTACACATTTTCTCATTTAATAATGAAACATTATAAACCAACAACATATTTCCACTATATTGTTTTGTGTCCTTAAAAGTTCTGATGTTTACAGAGCAAAGTGAATTAAACTCAGGGTTACATGCAGTCACACCGATGAGAAACAACTTTCAGCTTGACCAGAACTCGAACCTGTGACCCACAGAATAATGTACCCGGCTTGTCGCGATTGAGCTATCTGGCCACTTACACATTTCTCCCCTGAATAGTGAACAGTTCTAAACCGTGACAGATACTTTTAGATTTTTTAATTAACAATTAGATTTATTCTTAATTAAACAAATAAGAAAAAAAAACTTACATACTCATAGTCCTAATCAAAACAATCATTTATATATTGTACAATTATTTTTACTAAAAAGGGTTTAGACACTTATTGGTTGTGCCATTATTTATAACAGGTCACTTTAAAAGTGAATATAACTGTACTAATACATGAACAATATCTATTTTTTACAGATAAAAAAAAACTGAACTTTTTTCTATGATAAAAAAATTATGAAGGCTGATTTGTATTTTGCATCAGGGGCACCGGGGAAAAACATGAAAATACAACAAACGAACCACTTTGTGGAAGATTGCATTTTCATGTTTTCATCTGGCGCCCGGTTACTTTTTGTACTTTGTTGTTTTTCATGTGGCACAAATCATCCACTATAAAAATTAGTGCACAAAATTTATTCACGGGCAAGTAACAATCTACTCTATGAAAAGTATATTGTTGGGTTGACTCTGGAGACCTGGAGGTTGAGACTGGTGTCCCTCCATTACAAATAGATGAGACAGACGCTGTCCTTTTCAAACTATGCACATGTTAGATAAAAATTAGAATAACTATTCAGAATATGATGTTTGCAACTTTATTAATTATATTGCTTGATCCAAGTTTATGGACATTTTCACTTAATACATGTATTATCATTTATAACTAATGTCATAACTGTAACTCTTTAAATACAGAAAAATTATCAGTCTCATCATATCAATATACTAAGAAATACATGTATGCACATACTATCAATAATTTCCAGTTTCTATGAAATAAATATGAAATCCAAACATTAACATTAAAATTGGTACTCAAAATCTAGTAGAAAGAAAACTATAATGTATAAACTTTATTATAGATACTACTTTGAGCAAAGTCAACCTGTAGACTAATTTCAATACATGTATTACTATTTTTAAATTTAAATGCAAGTCTCATGAATCATAACTGTATTAGTCTTTAAATGCAGAAGTACACATTATATCCATATACTAAGATACACATGTATGCTCATTACATTAATAATTCCAAGTTTCCATTTAAAAAATAATATAACAGCCTATTAACATTGGTACTTGGACGGAATTCATAATCTTGTAGAAAGAAAACTATAATGTATAGTATAAAAGTAAAAATACCAACTCAAATACAAACTGTCGTCTTTATCATATAATAAAGATTGAGTTGTGTGAGTGTCCAAACATTAAAAGCATATCTTTTACAGTAACAAATACTGTCCCTCTTTAAACCTTCCATTAGACTTAACTATATAACCAACTGCATATATATATATATATGTCTGGTGTTTAAAGTTGATAACTTCAGGATGTTATCCTTTCTCTGTTTTAATATATGGACATGAGCACCTTTATGCATAGCTTTAATTTTCTACTTTTCATTTTTACCAAAGGTTATTTTATTAGCAATTATATACACATAGAAAATAATAATTAGTTTCAAATAGTGATTAGAAGATTCCTGTAGCAGAATACCTGTAGGTATGTACTAACTGAACAAACTAGAAAAATTCAGTCTATAAGCCAGTAAAATAAAAATCTATCAATATTCACTCATCAGGGCCTCTATGCTTTTGATCACCTTACAACTTGTAAATTTTACACAACAAAAATAGTAAGTAATACCTAAGTTAGACAGAAAAGAACAAATAATTTAGTAAACATGAGTTACTTCCCCTTAAAATAGAGAAAATCTGAAAACCAAAAGAACGCGCTAAACAGCAAAATTACGAAATGTTGCAGGCTCAGTTTCATTAAAGCCATGTAAGTAATGGAAGTAAGTATTCATAAAAAATTAGATGGTCATGTGACTGCAGAAATTGCAGAAAATCGGATAGTTTTCAACATCCGGATACTGGTACACTTTGTAAAAACAATCATTCTGTGCAATAGATTAACGTAATATGGATATAATCAATAGGATAATCGTTTACAACAGTTCCATTCCTATCCTAATACTCATTTGCAGGTGACGTTTTTCTTGTAGGAAATTTGAAAATATATAAATTGAATGAAAAAAGAATACGGCATCAATGTAGACCACAACGATATTCGAAATCCGGGTTTTTAGTATTGCCAATAAAGCTAAGGGACAAGCTGTTAAACTGAGCCTGCAATTTCGTGAAAATAATATCACAATGCACATGCTTTTTACATAAAGTTATTAAATACAAATATAACAACATATTTGTTTACTTGATTTTTACGAATCAAAATAAAACTGATTAACACAACATGACATCAACTGCTAAAAATGACAGCTCCTTCCATAGGCCAAAATAAAAAGCATTCCATAAGAGACGACGCCGCTCATCGGCGCCGCCAACAATTGTGATAAGATTCGTAAAATACAGGAATATACTGATGTTTTTTTCGTAAACACTAACCTAAATAAATTAAACATTAACAATCTGTTTAATACGATTATTGATACAAAATTATATTTTTGTGGTGTAGAAATTTTTAAATTCTAATTTACCTTCAATCAATTGTTGTTCTTATTTTTACATTGAGATCGTGAGCTGTGGCACTATTTATTGTCTTTGACTAATGGGTAAGCAACCGAATCTTTGATTTTCTTTTACTGCTATCGATGCTTTCTTAATGATTGTAAATACATTTATTTATCACATTCACGATGGCACAGGAGCGTAATAAATCCATATATTTAAAAGAAAGATACATGTATAACATTAGTGTAATAAATTTTGACCTGATGTCATTTGCGTTATATACAAACAAAACGTAAAGTTCGAAACTTAACGTTACACTTTAGGTGCGTTAATGAGAAAATGACTCTTTTTAACTGTTAACCGTTCTTATCTTAAACTTGTGAAAAATAAAGAAGGTATATATTCGTGTAGATTTCATACAAAACTTACTGAATTAGTTGAAAAAACAATACTCTTTCAATAAATTTAGTAAAATTTATTTAAAATTTACAATAATGAATTTAATATCCTCTAATAGTATACTTAATAATATTAATTTTCATCAACGTAATTTTAGTGCAGTGAGCCTGTCGCAAAGAAAATTTTGAATATATGTGTCTGTTATCTACATTTTATCAAATACATGTGTCATTTAAACTAATTTAAACTACTATAGTGTTCCCTTTATTAAAAGAAATTATATCCAAATATGATTACATATTGTAAAAAACAAAACAAAAACAGTTCTTTGTTTTGAACATACTATTTACAATGATTTTTGAATTTATGTATTATTTACAGATGATTCAAACAATACATGAACTGCAATATTTTGACTAAGTTCACAGAAATCACTTTTTAACAGAAACTGTCAGTTACCTTAATTCAATATACACTCAATTACACGCTGCAAAAACATGATACTATTCGGATATTAATATACATACTGTTCCCCTTCCGGATAATACTGTTTTTTTTTTGTTCCATAAGCAACTCTGGTGTTTACGCTATTACTCCTCCAAATGCTCGCTTTGTAGTTTGGTAGAAATCATTATAGTTATGAAAAATAAATGCAAGCATGAGTATGCAATTCGGATGTATTTAAACACTCTTTAAAGTGAAATATGTTCACATTATAGACTAATGCAATAGCTAAAAACCCTCACTTTGAACAATTTATCTTAAATAGTTACAAAGCATTTATATATGGATAACCATTTAATATTGAAAGGTGACATGTTAAAGGCGATCTATGACAAAACGCTTAACGAGGAAGAAACTAATCACCTCACAACAGCAATGATTAATTCTGGGATAATTCTGGGAGAACAATGGCCTAAAGATTGGATACGTGTCGACAAACATAGTACAGGTGGTGTAGGTGACAAGGTCAGCTTAGTTCTTGCGCCTGTACTTGCAGCGTGTGGGTTGAAGGTATGCTTGTTAAGGGCGTCAAAATAAATTAGTTTACTTATCACATATTTGTTTTATAATTTTATATTTTAAAATTGCATGAAACCATACAATTTAAGTTTTTTCCTTGGTATAAAAAGATGATATTTAAGGGAGAGTCTATGTCTGCTAAGCATCTTCTGATACATCTATGCACTCAACATTTATGTAAGTTTTAATCAGTTACAGGTATATAACATGCATTAAATCAGCATACCAAATCGTGAACAGATAGCTATTATATTCATGGTGTAAACTCCAGTTTATTTTTATAAAGAAAACACATGATAACTGCGGCTTTGACAGATATTGAAACTACTTATAGTTTAATAATTCATTTACCGTAAATAAAGATAGATGACTCAATACTTTTAACTGTTACTGAAAGATATATCTGTTGCTCTATTTGTGCACGTATAAGAATGAAAATATGTCTTTACAAACTGTGAATGCAAAATCTTGACACGCTTTGACGAATAACCGTATATATCATATATAGTAAACGGATGCTGGATAGTACTTTTGTTCTTGATGATCAAAGGGAGATTATTTTATGATTATTTGACTTTTATTGACAAGGCAAATGTCACGAACGCCTGTGAAACTCTTAACCTGAATCTTGCACTGTATCTCATTTAAGGCACATTTTCGGCCTGAATACTGGTGATGTTCCCAAAAGTGTTTTCTCTTGTCCTGTTTTAAGACACTGTTATGCATTGAAGTTATACACAGAAAAGTCATACTTGTACTAGTTTAGGATTTTAGTAAAGAAGAGTTAAACTTGCAAAGTAATAATCGGCCACATTTACATTAACGGTAGCTCATTAAGACAAGAACGTTAAAGTGACTATGGTAAATGGATGTTTTAGGTACCAATGATATCAGGTACAGGCCTTGAACACACAGGTGGTACATTGGACAAACTTGGGTCTATCAAAGACTTCAAAGTTATACAGGAAGAAGAAGACATGTTTCAAATATTGGACAGAGTTGGATGTTGTATTGTTAGTCAAACAAGTAAGCTTGTACCTGCTGATAGAATATTGTACCGCTTACGAAACGAAACTAAAACAGTAAATGAGCATGGATTGATAACGGGTAAGAGTCGATTTCATATGATTGATAGTCTAATTTTTTGGCCCCACTAAAAGTTGCCAGTAAAGTGTATTTAACATATACATGATATATTACAACAAGAACATTTGTTGAGTTAATATTCCCGTCAAATTATAAAACAAAAACGTATTTCAACGTCTTATTATAAACGTTAGAACATGAGTTTATGTCTTTCTTCTCAATAAAGGGAGTTTGCATGTTAAAGTTCGAAGCACTAAACCCTTCAATATGTTTATTTTAGGAAATGAGTTTTGGCGCAAATATAAGTGTGACATATATAAATGCATTTAACGCGAGTAAACTTAAGAACAAAAGCATTGACAACATAAGAAAAACTACGTTTAAATCCTTACAGGATCAATCATTTCAAAAAAAGCTGCTGAGAAACTTCATGCATTGGTTCTGGATGTCAAGTTTGGAAAAGGGGCTTTCTGCCAAACAATGGACATTGCAAAGGCTCTATCTGAAAAAATGGTAAACTGTAACTTTTTCAGTTGAATAGATTATAGTGATAATTAAAACGTATATTACAAAAATTGGGTCAATTAAATTTGGAAATCAAACAAATGTACTAAAGTATCATACTGTGAAATATTCAATGAAATCAGTCATCGGTGCTTTGATATCCCCAAACGGTAACTTATAACCTAATTGTTGACAGAAGAGCTCAGGTGACCCTATCTGGATTGCTTTCGCACACGAAAGAATCCGATTAAAAGCAACAACATTGATGGACAAGAGATTCAGTGAGCAAACTAAATGTCCAAAAATGTACCTACATATTTAAATCTAAAAAGACAATGCACAGTGAATATGTGTACTTAATTGGATTGGACATGGATTCGTCAACTATCCAAATTTTAACTACTGTCCTTTCCATGTTATTACTTTTTAGGTCAAAGCTGGAAACACTTATGGTGTCAAAACAGTTGCCTTAATTACTGACATGAACTCTCCTCTCGGTTACGCGATTGGGAACGCTCTTGAGGTGGCTGAATCAATCAAATGCCTCCAAGGAGAGGGGCCAGAAGATCTAATCGAATTAGTTAAATATTTAGGTAATAATATAAGAAATACGTACAAACACCTACAAAAGTAGATATTAATGTGCATATTTAAATTAATTATAAATATGCTTAAAGATTCGAAACATCATTGGCTTTGTCTTTTACATCATAATAATAATATCATGAAGATTCATGAAAATTGTTGTTTAAGGGAAATAATGCCAGCAATGTTATAAATTCTGGTAATAATAAAATTATCACCGCTAGTAATTCTGAGTTATAAAACTGGTTTGTACTTACCTTACTTCAATAGGCGGTCAACTGTTGGTTAAAGTTGAAAAGGCTCCAACATTAGGTGAAGCATATGACATGATCGAAGCTACATTAAAGAATAGAAAAGCCATTGGAAAATTTGAACTCATGCTTCAGGAACAGGGCGTAAATAAAAACTATGCCGAAGACCTCTGTAAAAAAGGGACTGACATTTTCACTATATTACCTAAATCCAAACGAAATAAAGAACTCAAAGCTGAAACTGCAGGTAGATTTTAATAATCTAAATTATTAAAACCTTTAACAAAAATGTTAGAAATAAGCTTATGTTAATTTTAATTCTGGTAATAAATAATTTTAAATGCATCGAAACAAACGATAATCGTATTGCACAATGTTTTGATGTTCTTCCTTTTTTTACCATAACCCTGTCGTCACAGTATGTAAACTCGAAAAGTGCAGCGTTCTAGTTTGCGTACTTAACAATTTATCACGCACATATGTTATTAATTGAGGTCCTTCAAAACTGATGGAAGTAGATAATACATGATTAGTTTAAAATCATTCGTGAGAACTTTCCCGTTGAAGATTTTTCATCCAAATTTCGTTTTGGCAGAAGTCTTATTCTACGTATATGTAAAACACTATCCAATTTTCTTTTATGTTAAATGTTATTGTAAAAGTTACTTACAGTTTTCAACATTTTCCTAGAACAAATCCAAATAATTACGAACTAACTATTATTTCTCTTACTGGCGTTGAAACTTAAATTTTATAGGGTATGTACATGGAATTGATGCAATGAAATGCGGACTGTTGTCCGCAAGATTAGGAGCCAATCGGATTAAACGTGGCGACATTATAAACCCTGCTGTTGGACTCGTTCTGAAAACACACATTGGGAAGGAAATTTCTAAAGGTAAGTTTATAAAATTTAATTACAATATCAAAAAAAGGTTAATTGTTTATAATTATTTTTTCAATGTTGAAAAATTACTTTAATGGAGGTTATCTGGAAAAATGGATCACTGAACTCTATTAAACAATGCTTACGATATATCTTTTACGTCATTAGTTGTCAGCAATATTTCTACGCCCTGATGTTCTAACTGCTTCTTTTTACTTTATTATTAAAGCCGCAAATGTCATTTTAGTGTCTTTGTTTTTCATTTTTCATAATTATTTTAATATTTCTGTAACAATTTACTTGGAGGCTCAACATGGGTGGACATTCGCTACGATAACGAGTTGCCTGATAATTTTATTCAAGAACTCCAAAGTGCCATTGAGATCCGGCCAAAAGAAATTAAAAGACAAAGCAGGTTGGCGTACATTGTGGAGAAAATACCAACTGACGACATCGTGAAAATCACGTGCAATTAAACAATTTGGTTTACGTTTTTTATCAGTAATTTCTGATGGGGATTTAGAGTTTTTGATTTGTTTGATTGTAAAATATGATTGGTATTGGTATTCAAGCAATAGCTAAAATTTGATTGAAAAAAATAGTTGCATTATCTTTAAATTTTCAACCTATTACCGATTGAGATTATGAATTATATTGTGTTTTAAACAAGAAAGGTGAAGTCGCATTTACCGCTTGAGTCAGTAAATTTAAAAAAAAAGATGAAGTACAATGTGTGTCATGCAACCATCAGTAATACAGCTTAAACAGTAATGTGATGTATGATGAATTCAATGCTATAAGGACCAGGAAAAATGACAGATCAGAGTAAATTAATGCATGTAACTTGTTTTTTTTTTGTTTTTACAGACGATTTGAACTGTTTTACGTCGTAACCTTTTTACAAGTAGAACTTTCGCACGTTTTTAACATTACGTATATATAATTAATTATAGATTTAAACAAAACAATTTTTAAGGGTGAAAAAATAAATACTTGTTCAAATATCGACAAAATGGGGCATCTTTGTGTAAAATTATAGTACTTTACATTATTATTTGACGGATACGTAGATGTTTTATAGATTATATGAGAATAAAAATGCATTTCTGTTGGATAAGATTCAGGGGACTACAGGAGACCTCTTATTACTTAAAAGGATGACAAGCGAATTTCTATTCATGAAGTATTGGTCAATTACTATTAAAATAGTCAACATGTTGAAAATATATTTATATTGGTTTCGTTGTAGAAGATACAAACACAATAATGATTTTTTACATATTAAACCTTATGACGTGACTTTTGTAATGTATAGAAATAACTGGGTAATGATGAAATAACTTCGAAAATACATTCATTTATGAGAATTAACATGATTCTGTAAATTCTGTAACTCTGTAATCAAGCCATATTATTGTGAGTGTGAGTTTTTATTTTATTTTATTTATCTTTTTCTTGTGTCTGTTTTCCTTTCTTTCTTCATTTATACAAGACTGTGGCTTTTTAGGTAAATACTTGTTTGCTTTCCTTTAACTTTATTCCATATTTCTCAGTTAATTGAAAAGAGAAGTCTGAAATATACAGTAGAAATTTAATGCGATATAGCATTAAATCTTTATAGAACTTTTCTTCTAAAATGCTGACAAAAGAAATATATGCCATAAGAACTTACTTGTTGATAAACTGAACATTATGATATTTTTGCTTAAAATATTTAATGTTGATTTCTATTTTGCTGATAAAAATGATAAAAAAACATAATAATTCAATATAGACTGATGTGCTAGAGTGTATATAAAACTAGGGACATCTTTTTCTTGAAACAACATACATGTATATTCAAGGGTAATAATGAAAGCAAAAATTATGGAATTATTGAACAACTTCAAATAGTATTTTATTAACACATATCTGCATTTATTCAATTTTCAATAATGGTTGTAATTAGTCGTGTTTAAACCAGTGTGTGTAATAAAATTAGTATCTAAAAGAGTTATTCATCATTTGTTTTGATACAATCCAGATATTTTCTTGAGCATACACTTCATATTCTAAGAAAAAAGACCCCACACAAGAGATCCTTGACTATTTATCCTATATAACAATATATTTTGCAAGGTAACGTGGTAATGCAAAGTAATAAATGCTATGCGTTTGAGCGGATAATTGATTTATAGTGAAAATTATCAAAATATAATCAAACTTTTCAACAAAGGGACTATATTTTTGTGCCTTCACTTTAAGGAAGGGGTTAGATTTACCCATGTCCGTCCGTCCTTCCTTCCGTCCGTCCGTCCTTTCTCATGTTGTGTCACACGTAGCTCAAAAGTATTTGACCTGGAGTATTGAAACTTAACAGGAATGTTGGTCTGCATGTGAAGTTGTGCCCCTTGGTATTAGGGTGTGGATTCATTAAGTATTTGAAGAGTTATTACCCTTGACTTAGTAAAAATTTGCGATTTTCAACTTTTGTCACGCATAGCTCAAAAAGTATTAGGCAAAGAGTCATGAGCCTTCACAGGAATGTTTTTTAGCATGTGTGCACTTTGGGTTGTGTTTGTGAATTTATTCTGTTGTGTCAAAATTGTTGCCCTTGACTTAGTAAAAATATGCAATGTACAACTTGAGTCGTTCATAGCTCAAAAGGTATTTGACCTAGGGTCATGAAACTTTACAGGAATGCTGATCAGCATGTTTAGTTTGACACGTTGGGTTTCGCATGTTTATTTATTCCACAAAGTGACAAAGTGAGCTTTTGTTATCATAATCAGTCCGGCATCTGTCTGTCCGTCACTAAACTTTTATTTTAAACGACATCTCTTCTTAAACCGTTGAACCAATTTCATCCAAACTTTGCTGGTCACTTTTGAAAATTGTTCAAATCATTTAATTCCATCCAGAACTCTGGTTGTCATGGCAACGGAGAGAAAAAACTTACAAAATCTTCTTTCACAAAAGCCAATAAGCTAGAGCTTAGATATTTTGCATGAAACATCTTCTAGTCAGTGTGTACCAAGTTGGTTTAAATAAAGTCCATAGGATTAAAATTTGCCCGCCCCTTTCCTTATATGTAAACATCCTTTGGAACTGTTGTTTCCCTTAGCAATAGCTACCAGTAATGTTTACGCATTATATTTATTTTAGAAATTCGGCAATTGACATTAGATTAAATGTCTATTTTTAAGTGACACTGAAAATGTAGTTTACTTAAGACCTTTTGAGTTGAAAATACAACCGACGTCATTGAAATAAACTTTAGATTCCTATGCAAACCTTGTTTTATTTACATATTTTTTTCATTTATTTTATTTGTTTCATCGTAGTCGTTCCATAATTTTGGAACTACACAAAGCTGGTTAAATTGTTCCAACAGTATATTATGGTCAACACAGTTTAGAAAACAGCTTAATCATGTTTAATCACGTTTAATGTGTAGCTGTTACAAAAATAAAACGGCAAAACCTACAGACAATATTTATAATAATAATTTAGGGCTTGGGTAACAGTTCTGCAATTTTCCGGTCACACATTAAGTGATAATCTACAGCCTGTCTTACCAATTCTTTTGAATAAGTTTCTATATTTTACATACTTTTAGATGCAAATTTTAAAGCTAGATACAGAATATGTACATATGTTCTCATCGGCCCTGGCAAAGAAAACATAAAGTACTTAAGGTTGCCTGCGCCGAGATTTGAAAACCCACAAATTTAACATCGAAAGCGAATCATTATATCATAATAGTTAGTTCTCTTAAATGACATATTAGAAATAAGAAAAAAACATTCTTAAAGTATACACAAATATTTTAAGCAGGTTTAAAAAATGATTTTAATTGATTAATAATATATTGTATAACAAAGGATAAAGGAAGATAATTCAAATATTAAAAAGGTAGAATTTTGAGTTTGGTAATCTGCGCTTCCTTTAACAAATCTGTATCAAATCGTGTGGTTTTAATCAATTTACCTCGACACTTTCAAATTTATTCCATGGATTCAATTTATTAGATATCACAAAAAAAGGAAAATTCACAACACTATGATATGTATTGTTATGGTTTTTTTCCATTGCATTTCAAATTTCACGTCAATCAAATACGAAATTTTCAATTATATTATACCTGCGCTATAGAAGATATAAAATACCCCATAATTATATTTTTAATTCTCGGGTTCCATTAAAATGTTCAAATTTCTTAAATACATACTTCAAATGACCTTTTATAAAACGAAGAAAAAGCTGAAATATATCACGTTCGGTAGCACAACCTAACACTGCAACATCCAAAAATATGTGTTACTGACAATTTTGATGCATGTAAAATAAACACAATATTACCAATAACTAAACCAGGGACAGAGTGACTGTACATTTTTATAAATAATTGCCACACCTATTGTACGAATATAGCCGGCGTTCACGTTGTCAAAGGATGGTCACTTATGGAGTACAGATTTAAATGTTCTCAGTTTTGCAACACTTTTAACACCTATATTTCAAAAATAGATAATGATGATAACAGAACGAAGCAACATTTTTACAAGACAGAAGAATTAAAGAATAAAAAAAAACAAGACAAATAATTTTGTTTTAGCAAAAATATGTTTTAATTACGGAATTTTTCCATTCATCAATTACCACACAATATAAACACATTACGGGTATATGTATGAATAATTAATAAGCTATGAATGAGTCCAATTTCCCTAAATGATTACGGAGTTTGCAACAATTTCCTTTTAAACACCACGACTCCAGAATATAACTGAAAAACTACCGTTTTACTGAATTTTCAAAATACGGCATCAAAAACATAAGGTTGAAAAAAATCGCAATTACACTAGTTCGTATTTTAAGACTTTTGCTCTGAAAACAATCAATTTTGTTTTCCGTCAACAGGAAATACCTTCTCTTATTATACTACTGTTTTTTCTAGCACCACTTGACTGTACATGATATTATCGCGACCTGTGATCCGGAAAGCACGGAATTCGGTATCGTATCAAATATAGAGGGAAACGAAAAAAAAACTGCTTTGATTTTGATATTTGTACCAATTTGTGGCACTGAAAATTATAATTGATTAATTATCTCATATATATGATGACAAATCTTTAGTTTGAAATATGATTAGGGTCACTCATTGACGAACATTTATGTACGACCCGGGCCGTACCGGATACCGGGATCTTTCGAAACCACTGCTGTGACATGTGGCCATGTTGAAAGCCTATTTATACTGGCCACTGCGTTAGTATCGAAGTAGATTATCCAAGGAAGAAACACGGTATTTTGACGATTTTGCCAACATTCCTTCTTGAATTTAAATGTCAGTAATCATTGATTTACACATAAGACGTAATTAGGTCAGTATTTACCAATTACTTGAAATTTTTTACTTTATTTTTTTCATTCTATCATCTGGTGGTCAGTGGCTGCCTGCTTTCAATAGTTTCTAGGACTTATTGTTTATATAACTATTACATTAAAAATCATTTTAAAGAAATAGTACCTATTTAAAATAACAAAGTGAGTGTGTTTTGTTTTGAAGCATATATATCACAGACAAGCCGCTAAAAGTTGCCGTTAAAAGAAGCATACATTCTAGATTGACGTAACAATATCCAAATTGCTGGAACCTGAAAACCGTATCAAATTACAACAAACACTACAATAATATCGCGTTGACATGATTGAGCGATCATCAAGAATATGAAATATTAACAGCTCAGACCGGGCCAATTTTGCATGGCCTGAAATGAGCATTTACAGCAATGCAAACTTTTATCAATTTACAGCTTTATAAACACCTTTTTTATAGAATGCATAGTTTCGGAGTTTACTTGAATGTTTTAATAATGAAGAGATTATAATTATTTAATGGGTAAAATGTCATTTTGTTACTCGATTGAAACGTATATCGCGTTTTCAAAAGTGGCTATTAGAAAACAACTAAAATATGTACAACAGCAAAAGCAAAATGAATGACAACACCATCGACGTAACGATAACATTGTCAACGTCTAACAAAATAACAGAAGCAACAACAAAAATAGGTTTACAATAGCATCATCTCAACAACAAGAAATATCATCGACAATAACAAATGCGAGATAAAAAAGCAATGGTAGCAACATCAAAGCAGCAAAAGTAACAACATCAAATCTACCCACTACCATATATACCATAACATTATCCTAAATCTATTAAAACGTACACCAACAACAACATCTGAATCCGCATTACAATAATTATTAAACTTCAACATCTGCATGGACAACAAAATCATCATAATGATAAGAAAATTGCCATATACACCAAGACATAGCAGCGTTCATGGTTCAACAACGCAGTTAAATAACAAATACAGTAATTTGATGACACTAGAATTTAAATACTTTCAATACTAAAAGTTCACTTTCATATGTTATATCAGAATGTATTTGTTTGGTTTAAAATGATTTATTACACATTGAAACCTTCTGAAGCTTGTGTTTTGTAAATCATAAGGAAGTCACAGAATAGTCTGAATTACCATTTGTCATGCTTTTCATGTTTCATTTTTTACTATTCTTAATTTCATGGTTTACAAGAATAACAATGTCAAATAAAATTCAAGAGTTGTTTAAGAAACAGATGTTATATCGAAAACGAACGGTTATAGCAAAAATTGTCCGAAATAAATACTGAAGATCGCATAAAAAGCAAAAGTGGAACTAGTGACTGGCATTGATTCAGCCTGTTCATAAATACGTCTTTTATGCCTTCTGATGAATTATGATTTTCTTATAGCAAACCAATGCAAGAGTCTATGTACGACTTCCACACAATTACCGAAAACGATAATCACAATAATGTACTTGTAAGAATAAAATCGTTTATTGATGTATACATGTATTTGTATGGAGATTTAAATTATTCAAATTTGATTTTGTTCCTGGCGGCATGGGAACCAGGCAGCAACACTAGCTCGGAATCTCGACCCAGTTGAGATGTATAAACAAAAGTTTATAGAACTCCCCGTGTACATGCATAGATTAACCAAAGCCCACCAAGGATCTTGAAGTTGAATTTGTCTTGGAATGTCGTTTGGTATCCAGTACGGTTCACCAATGAAATAAACGCAAACGGGCAGTGTGCTGAATATAAACAGAAAGTTAATTGCTACTAGAAGAGCCGACAATCTATTATTTTGTCGAAGCGCTGTCAATCTGTATGTGTTTTCTGGTCTCACCCGTGACTTGGTCTGTTTGTACATTTTCAAGCGTTTGTAAATTATACAGACGTTGCCAAGGGTCAAAGCTGCAAATGGAATGAGAGAGAATTTGCAAATGTCGATCCATGTCCATATCTTTCCAAAAAAATATTGATATTCTTTAGTCATTGGAGCACACGGAATAAAAATGGATCCATTTACTGTTTTGATGTCAAGCTCTCCAAATCCATAGAGCAGGTGGGCATTAATGAGACAAGCTGCTATGACTATGACTAAAATTGTCACTGAAGCCGATATCGTAGTACATATGTTCTTCACTTTAAACGGCAAGTATATAGCTAATAGTCTTTCTATGGTCATAGCCGTCAGAATCCAAACAATAGTATCAGCAATGCTATACACAAGCCAGATATGAAGTTTGCACAAAACCGGATGAAACGACCGAACATCAATGTCGAATGAGTACAAAAACCATTGCCGCATCAATCCAATATGAAGAAAGGCTAAATCAGAAACCGCAAGACCAATGAAGTATATCGTCGATGGGATGGCTCTAAAGCGCTTTGAGGAAAACACAATTAGAGCTGACACGTTTCCAAAAGTACCCAAAATTAATATGAAAGGTGAGGCAATCTGCCACATCAAGACTCCTGTGCGACGCTCAGAAACAGAACGAAAGTGTGAGAAAGCATCCATTTCAAGACACACTTTGTCTATTACCTTTGTTATAGCTTCAATGCCACAATGTCAGTTTTTCTATCTGTCAAAAAAAATATGGAATTAATAACAAAACGTATATTAACCTTGTTTAATATACACACACTTTGTTAACAATAAAGAATCTACCAAATATATATATATGTTATCCTCCGCTGTCAGATTCAACAGAGACTATAAAGGTGTAAATACATTTCAGCAGAACATGATTAATCATAAAAAACAGTATTATACCATGATTTGCATTAATTGAAACACTTATGTCATGATGATATAGATAATTAAACTAAGAACTACCGCTAGTTGCCACCAGCTGTTATGTCACACTGAATATGTAGATATGATACAGAGATTTTTAAGCTTTACAGGTGAAGAACGATCTCACGTGCCTCTTCATGGATTATTTTCGCGGACGCTTTCAAACCATTTTCTGGATGTTTTTATTGTACAAAAAATGAAAATCAGAATCCCGAAAGAACGTACAAAACGGCAAATTTACATTAAATTGTCAAGACGGTCGTTTTTTAATGTGCTGTGGCTAAAATATCATTGAAATGAATAAAGTACGCTATCTGCCCAAAATTATCTAAAACTTATCAGTAAGAAACTTAAATCATGTAAATGGAATCTCTTGTTTCTTTTATATTATTTCTTTTTTTTTCACAAAATACTCACCTATCTCTCAAGTCTGTAAAAGGCATTCTGTCACCCTTTAAAGCTTAATATTGTTTGACAATGTAAATCCATATTGAATAATACAAATTTAGTAATTCACAAAACGCATACATGTGTAAACAAAGAGTTCTGCCCAAATAACATACTTTCATTTGACTAGACAAACAGGGAGTGACTGTATCAATCTTACACATGACGTAATCTTTAAAGGTAGATATTGATCAATTAGTAATTAGAAACACAGGTAGATCTTTTCTATGATCCGATTCCGATATCTGGACATCCATACGGATGTTTTTTTTAAGAATTTACTATGAATTAAAAAAAACTAGTTTAAACTACCTCTGACACTGATTTTCATATATTAAGATTCACACAATTTTCTTTATTATTCTTTCTGAATTGTTTAGAAGACGCATCTTTTCTTATGTAATACAAAGCTAATGCTATATCATATAAGGTTAACCATATGAAATCTCATGATTTTAGTTTTCCTCTGAGATATTGCATGCCGTTCATCATGGTGACTTTTTATGTTTTATTTATATAATATATATGCAAACTGAGCTGATATCGATAAACGACAACGAAACGAAACCCTTCAGGCTGAATGATTATTATGTTTTTCGCGGAATGACCAGTAGTGTGCCCATGTTTCGTTTAACAACAACAACAACAACAAAAATCTTTGAATGAAGTTAAATTTTATACTTATTCACCTTCAAAATCAAAACGTTGCATTTGTGATGTTAAATAGTTATTTCTGTTTATTTGAAGACAATCCTGTAATGACGAAGTAATAAGCATAGCCATCCTTACAAAATCTATAATTATTATAACACCTCATCCCCGAAGGGTTAATAAATTTATTCAGTGCATCTATATATTCTAATAGGCGTGACAAATTAATATGATAATAAATAAAAATAGATAAATCAAACTGTCAAGGATTAGCTGTTATTCACCAACTGTGTGTCAACAAATCAATTAGTACAATTTATTTTTGTTGACCTGTGAATCAAATACAATCCTTTAATAATTATAGTTAAACAACAAGCCTACACTTAACAGTTTTCTATGAGATTACTTCAACCCTACAGATGCTATACTTGACCTGTGAAAATCCAAAAGGTCATACCGCTGCCAAGTATGTTAACAACATCAAATAATTCACGTTTAAAATATAAAACATGCTAAAAAGCCAAACCTTTCATAAGCTGTTATTTCTGAGTACAAGCTATTAATTTATCACCTGTTGTCACATAAGTGTATAAACTTGTCGTGTATATACGAAATCCTGTCAGGGATATCGCGTCTTCGCATCACATATTTTAATAATACAATTGTATATTGTAATAACACAATTGTTATCAAACAAAAGCCAAGTAAAATAAACGACGCAAAATTCTTTTTTATTATGGAATTTCAAGAAACGTAGATGTACAGTGCATCAAAGTAATGTCAATGTTGGGCGGTGACGCAATGTCCCTTACCGGACTCTGTATGTTAGTGTTATTATTTAAAATGAATCATATCCCAGTGTGTTGAACAGTAGCTATAAAATGAGCCGCATAAATAAAATCACCACTGAATATCAAATTTATTCCTGAATACATTAATTTGTGTACTATGGTTATCTTTTTACAAAAAATATTGATTTGCTGTTATTTTGTTACTTCGGTAATAGATGATGTAATTGTGTCATCTCATTGAAAGGTTCCCAAATCGTTTATATAATGAACGGCATTAGATACTGTATACGTATACGATTTAACAAAATCATTAAAACCATTAAAATATTCAAAGTCAACTGTAATGCAGTTGATGTATGTGAAATTTATAACAGTTTTATATATTTTAAAATAGTTTTGTACCAGCAAGAGTTACCTCTCTGTATATTCTGTGTTCGTGATAATTGGCTCCGCCTATTATATTTTCGTCTTATTCCATATATTGAAGATGCAAAATCGTTTCCAAATGTTAATCGCGTTAGAATTTTAAAGGAAAGTGTGGTGTTGTCAACCTGAGAGTGTCAACTGATGCAGTTACATTCTCAACGTCATGATGCACAGCATTGAACGTGTTGTGTACGGTCTATCGTTTACATTTCTACGTGTCGCAAATTTGAAGTTACAGTTTGCAATTTATCTAAGTTGCATATTTACAGCTTCCATTTTATCAAATCGAGATAATCAAAATGCTTAATGCCAGTGTAGTATGTAACTCTCGGATTGACAATTAGATGTTTGCTAGTCTGTTTAGTAGAACCGAAGTATACATTGTCAAGTTTCAAATAGCCTCCATATTGTTATGCTACTGTGTAGTGACAAATTACAGTTTGAAACTCAAGTATTTTAATTAAACAGATGTGTGAGAACTGTGAGCAGGTGACTTATATGCCCGTAGGGCCGGGAGTTATTATAATTATACTTATATAGTTTTGTTATAAATGTCAAAACACAAGTTACTATAATTAATAATTATCTTATCTTATATGAGGAGAAATGGTACAAGCGTACAGAAAATTTGTTTTACCGGATCATTGCCCCTTTTTCATAAACACTGGCACATTAGTTGTTTTAGAAACTATTAGACATATTTTTTTTATCAACAATCTGGCATATAGGTTGATAAATGGAAAAATGTCAAAATGTTAGTTTGTCAACAAGTAAGAGTAAGTTAATACTATAATATTAAGTAGTTTTAAGTAAAAAGACATTTATTTCCTTTTTCAACATACTAGAGAATTATTTTTATGAAAAATTTCAGCTTCTAGTTTCAGATTACCCAAACATAAATAAGGGTGTGAAAATGTCAAGCAAGGCAAGTGCCCCATCAAAACACCGTTTCCTGTCTTGAAAACTGATGGAAGGTATTGGGCTTAAAAATGACATTTTGTTTTCCATTTCCTTTATAAACTGCAATTTCAAAGGGAAAAAGGGCCATTTAAAATGCATTAACTGCACTGTGTCGGTATGGTACGGGAAACTGTTATTTTACATTGCAAAGTAAAATTTCGCTTATGCATGAAATATAAAAGAGTTCTTCATCAAATCAGTTGCATTCAGAAACATTTATTACAAATATTTAGGTGAGGTTCTAGAAGAATTCTTTTAAAAATCCAATATTTTTTTTAAAGTTCAAACATTTCAACCGCAATTGTGATGTACACATGTCTCACAATATATAAATTTGTTCCACTAATTAACTCAAATGTTAAAAATATAATACATAATAAAGATTCATTAACGTTAAATCAATGGTACTTAACACTTCTGTGATATTTGTTTAACATGATTATCAATATAATTGTATAGTACTTGATTGTTAATGTACAATAGTTTAAACACTCTATATATTTGTCGGAGTGAATTTTTCGTGTACATGCATGCATTCCAAAGGAAGAAGCATTTTCTTAAACGTTTTGAACATAATTATTTTATATGACGATAAGCAACATATTCGTTATGGAAAATATGATTTCGTACCGGTGATTCGTGTATAAGGATAAACCATAAAAAAGTGTGCTCAAACAGCGAAAACGAATCTGTGCTAAATATATTAATCCACTGAAAAAATATAATTCTACACTACTTTTTTCTATAGTTTTTTATACTTAATTGATAAAATGAATAATAAAAAATGTTTCTAAAGGTCACCCAGTTTAGTTTTTATCAATAATCTAAATTCATTCCCACTAAAATTGATGTTTTACTCTTACGCATCATGATCGTCAAATAAAGTAATTAAAACTCGCGATGTTATCAGACATTATGCATTAGAGATAATTGTTGTTATGGGTGATACAATGATGTATGCTTGCTCGTCCTGGGTAATCTATTCATTAAAATGTACAAAGCAGGAGAGTTTTAGTCAATACATGTGCTGTAACACAACGTTTAAATGTTTTCCATTAAGTTGCGGTAAATGTTATTCGATTACTGAGCACGGAGCATATCCCGTTACTTTTCAGAAATATATAATAAATTAAGTTATTTATTCAGTGGATCTTTTTTTCCTTCCAGTGTAATAGTTATGACTATGCCAATGATTCAGATTAAATATATTCTGTTGTTAATGTTTTGCTTAGAATTAAAATTTACTTCTGGAGAAACAATTTCAAATGTTCAAAATGTGTTAGACGATTTTTTCTCACCTTCTGTATATAATAAGGAAATTCGTGGCATAAAGGATCAAACAAAAACACTGGAAGTAAACCTGAGCTTTTCACTTATGTATATAAAAGGGTTGGATGAAATCGAGGAAAAGATCGACCTTTTCGGAGTACTCTTTCTCAACTGGAATGATGAGCGCTTAGTTTGGGACCCAGAGATGTATAATGGAACAAATAAGGTCATTCTTTCTTGATCATGTTTTTATCACATGTTGATTGGTAGACATTTTTTCATTAAGCATCATACCACATTTATAGCACTGAAAATATTAACTATGTTAATGTTAATTTTAAACATGCTCAATAACAACTTAAACCTTATCAGGCTATATTTGTTGAAATCAAATTTTATTATGCAGTCAGTGCCTTTGATATAAACTGGAATAGATATTATAATCATCCTCATTATCATTATTATACTATTTGAAAACGTTTTTTGATTAACTGATACTTGAATGATTAGTTTAGTGTGACGTCAGCTTTGCTAACCTGGTCAATATATTTAATTTAGCAAAGTCCATGTTTGAATTCGGATCGACAAGTGGTTCTGGGTCATTGGCAAAAACAATGCACGTATGGGGCACCTAGGGCCTTCCACTACCAGTTAAGTTAGAGCGCCCCTATATAATTTGTTTGCTGTCAATGTGCCCACATAAACACATATCTTCCTCAGACAGTAAATTAAAAAAAACAGGTTATATAAATTTGTTTTTACTTTAATTTGTTTATGTGTAGGTTTACATGACAGCAGAAAAAGTATGGCATCCAGAAGTCACGCTTGAAAATCCAACAACATCACGCAATTACTTCGGAGACCTTAGGAGACTTAAGTCATTTCATAAAAGCGATGGTGAAGCTTCTTTAGTCATAGGTACTATCATATTTTACATATAAAATGTTACGTGCATCTTCATAAGGAAACATAACCTGCCCCTTGTTGCGAAGGAGTTGCCTTTGTGGGTTGAGGCATCAGAATTGCAGCCACCACCTTTTAACCCTCCGTGATCGTTAGAGGCGGCTAAATGGATTCGAAATACTAAAGTCTATGAATATGTAACCTCCAGCAGTTGAGGTAGTTTTGACCCCTGGTGTTCCTTTAAGCTTGTAACACCCGAGGTTAGCCAAAGTAATATTTTCTGTTTCGGCGCTATACGAAATTTACTGTTTTAGTGCGCCGTAAAACCAAGCAAACAAACAAATCATATTTTTGACATCACCCGTTACCATTGAAAACTTTGCATAAAGCTATCAGAGCTATATAGTATGTATCCAATTTATTTATCTATTAAAGACATACCTTTGTAAATTATTTGCATAATCTATTTATTATATTTCTTTATATTTTATTGTCCCTCGCCTTTTCGAAGAAAAAAGGGGGATATAGAAATAGGCTCCGTCCGTCTTTCCGTCCGTCTGTCCGTCATACTTTCGTGTCCGGTCCATAACTTTGTCATTTATGAAAAGAATTTGAAATAACTTGACACAAATGTTTATTATAATTAGACGATGTGTCATGCGAAACAACCAGACCCCTACCTTCAGGGTCAAGGTCGCACTTGCTCATTCAAGGTCAACATTGTCTATTTGAGGGTATATGTCGTGTCCGGTCCATAACTTTCTTATCTATGAAGGGATTTTGTAAATACTTGCCATAGTTGTTCACAATAATCAGACGATGTGTCATGCACAAAAAAAGGTCATCTACCTTCAAGGTTAAGGTCACACTTGGAGGTCAAATATTAACATAGTCTGTTATAGGGTATATTTCGTGTCCATAACTTTGTCATTTATCAAAGGAATTGAAAATAACTTGGCACAAATGTTTGTTAAAATAAGACGATGTGTCATGCGCAACAAGCAGACCACTACCTCCAGGGTCAAGGTGGCACTTGCTCATTCAAGTTCAACATTGTCTATTTGAGGGTGTATGTCGTGTCCGGTCCATAACTTTCTTATCTTTGAAGGAATTTTGTAAATACTTGCCATAATTGTTCACAATAATCAGACAATGTGTCATGCGCAAAAACCATGCACCTACCTCCAAGGTCAAGGTCACACTTGGAGGTCAAATACTTACATAGTCTGTTACAGGGTATATTTTGTGTCCGGTCCATAACATTTTCATAGAGCAAAGTATTTTGAAAATACTTCGCACAAATAGTCACTATAATAAGAGGATGTGTCATGCGCAACACCTGCATCCCTACCTCCAAGGTCAAGGTCACACTTAAGAGGTAAAAAATTAACATAGTCTGTTATAGGGTATATTTTGTGTCGGATCTAAAATTTCTTCATAGTTCAAGGGATTTTGAAATAACTTGGCACAAATAGTCAGAATAATAAGGCGATATGTCAAGTACAACACCTGTACCCCTACCTCCAAGGTCAAGGTCACACTTAGAAGTCAAAGGTAAATAGGGTCTGTTATTTGGTATATTTTGTGTCCCGTCCATTACTTCTCCATAGATTAAGGGATTTTGAAAAGACTTGGCACAAATAGTCACATTGATTAGATGATATGTCATGCGTAACATCTGTGTCCCTACCTCCAAGGTCAAGGTCACACTTAGAGGTCAAAGATTTACAGTCTGTTATAGGGTATATTTTGTGTCCAATCTATTACTTCTTCATAGTTCAAGGGATTTTGAAAATACTTGGCACAAATAGTCTCAATAATAAGACGTTATGTCATGCACAACACCTGCTCCCCTACCTCCAAGGTCAAGGTCACACTTAGAGGTCAAAGCTTAACATGATAGATTTTTAAATTCCGTGTTTCATTTTATTTTTTTAACAAATTTATTGTTACATTTGCAGATCTAGCATTGATCATACTTTTGGACTGAATGTCCTGAGATCCATACCTCGATCTCTTGAAATAGCACAATTTTATGCTTCATATAAAACTTCCCGAGGTGGGGGACGTTGGTAACTCTGTTACAAATTCTTGTTTATGCAATATTGGGCGCGATTCTGCAGGGAAGATAAAAGAAGAGTACATTTTGAAATATATAATTCTGAACATATTAATCTTGAATTAATAATATAATGTCAATAATATGGAGATTTTCGAATAGCCTTGTTATTGATCTGAAGACTTAATATTAGCCCGAGACATTTACTTCAATCGCTTCTTTAATCTTAATTATCCAAAGATGAATTGTGTGGGCTTTCTTTAGGGATTCTTATTTCACTCTATTTTATCGCCACATCAGCGTTGTTTGTGCCTTGTGGAGGCTGTAAAAAGTCGCCCCGTACATTCAATCAGGGATATTGTATTTCCGATCCTTAAAGATCGTTCAGCACGACATTATTATTGTGCTTGTGGTATTTTGGTTCTATCTATTCGGCATCTTTCTTGTTGGGTGGTTCCAGTATTCCTCACTTGAATACTGTTGAATCACCCTTAGGATATGAGTCCTGCTTTTTAAATTTGTCTTTTGACGTTACATCTGTGATATGCAGGCTTCTTAACCTCAGATCCCCTTTCAAAATTCCATTTTATTTAGTTCCGCCCATTGTTTTCTCGTTTAGGGCACACGCATTTTTTAACTTGGGGACCATATGCCGCTTTTCATGGTATGGCACTAATGTGTCACATTGAAGGTTCCATGATAACCGCCATATGAAGACATCTGCGGATGTTTCAAAATTCAAAATTTCACCAGTTCATGTTAATGTTGAATGCTGCTTAAGCCGGTGATAGGGGGCGTGGACGGTAATTTGCACATGACAGTACCGTCCATGAACAGGCTCAATCAAACCAAGCCTGCAACATTTTCAATTTTGCCGTGTTGGGCTTTCTTTAGGGATTCTTATTTCACTCTATTTTACAAAATTACTAAAATTGTTCCACTTTGTTGAACAATAAACATCCTGGTTATTAAATCTAGTCCATGTACAGTATGGCCCCTGTTGAGCGATTAGGGGTCATTATGGTATTCTCGTTTAACTAATATCTGATTATGATATTATTATATCATAAATGTCAACAATGATTTCTTTTTTTTTCAGGGGATATGTTCGAATGTAGCTGTTCAATAGATCTCAAGTCATTTCCATGGGATAAACAAAAATGCACCATAGCTTTTATCGTCTGGGGATATGTTGCTTCAGACGTAAAATTAGTGGGAGCTCAGAATGAAATAGACTTACAGGGATATCAATCGAACGGAATTTGGGCATTGCTTTCGACTAAAGTATATTCTAAATCTCATAACATAAAATCTATTTTGGTATTCGAAATGGTTCTTCAGCGACGGGCAATGTTCTTTATTGTGAATATACTGTTGCCAATATCAACTTTGAGTGTTCTTCAATTATTTGTTTTTATAGTACCAATTGATTCCGGTGAACGAATTTCATTTTCGTTAACTGTTCTTCTATCTATATCTGTATACATGACTTTGATTAGTGACAATTTGCCTCCAGGTGCCGAGTCAGTTGCATCAATGTGTTACTTGTTAGTGTTTATAATGATCGAAAGTGCTTGCATATGTTTGTTTAATATCTGCAGCGTAGCATTGTATCATAGACGCATTGAAAATCATGAGATATGCGTGTTTTGGTGCAAATTTGTTCATGTCCTCGGTACAACAAAAAGGTGCCGCCGACCAGGAGAGAATCGCATTAAGTCTGATGTACCAGACAAAGAGGCTGATTGTGATGACGAAGGTACTATGAGACAAAATACGCAAATTTCAGAAAACAGTAGAGAAATGCCATTGTCTTGGAGGGACATCAGTAAAACTTTTGACCGTGTTACTGCAATATTTATGACTCTCATTCTTTGTTTCTCCTATTTGATGTATGCGTATCATGTAACAGCAGGTTTATATAGTGACTGAAAATGATATAAAGTGAAAAATATTCTTATCATTCAAGCAATGTTTCCCTCTTACATTAGACTGAAAAGGAAACGCCCACTAAAAAGCTGATATTGTAGGGATGAACGACCGACCCTTCAAGTGCTTGAATTGATTAAGTTACTTGATTTTTCTTCAAAACAGAACAATAATCTTTAGCTTTTTAACAAAAACTATTCAGGAAACATTTTCTTAAAAAATTTGCTTTTTACTCAAATTGATTTAAATTATATCACAAAGATATTTTGTGTGCTCCAGGCAAGGGCAGGTTATCTTGGACTCTTTCGGAAATATGTTTTGCAACATGTGCTGATTATTTGCTATGAATTATTTTCAAATAGCTATAATGTTCTACATTTTTTGACTCCCTCCGTTTTATGTTCAATGGAAAACAAGTTTATAATTGATTGATGTTTTTTAAACAAATGTATTTATATAATGTATATAAAACAACATGCGCACACATTGTCAACAATTACAACAAAATATTAAATTGGAGCAAAACCATTTTTTTTGTTTCCAACCCATTAAATGCTGTATTATTTATATCAATACATTTTATCTGAAATATGTAATTCCTTGGTCTCGAATAAATAAGCATAGTTCTGAATCAGTAAATTTATATCTAATTAACATAATTGTTGTAATATTACATGCAAGATAAAATTAATATGCTATGCTGTTTAATCTATAAGCATTTCAGATATATCACGCGTATCTGTTCTGCAATATGCATTTTAAACACGCAAAGTTCGCTTTAGGCCTGCAATTCATTAATAAATGACAATTTTCCCAGATGATGCCAAAATACACGATAAACAAAATTTAAAATGAAAGTTATAATGTGAAACATGAGTTTCATCGATTAAACCATAACATATAAGTAGCAACAATAGTAAAACTTTTTTTTTGAAGCTCACCTGGGCCAGGGGGAGCTTTTAGGATCGATGAATGTCCATCGTCCGTCGTCCGTTCTCATTTGTTTGTTAACACCCTAGCGGTCACATGTTTGCCGCAATCTTCATCAAAGTTTGTCAGGATGCTTGTCTAGGTAATGAGTTTGAACATGGGTCATCTCGGATAAAAAAACTAGGTCACAGGAGCTGAAAAAAGGAAAATCTTGTAAACACTCTAGTGGCTACTGTTTTGATCCAAATATTCTGGAAATTAGTCTGAAAGTTTGTTTTGATGATTTCTAGGTAAGTTCGAATATGGATCACCTGGGTCAAAAACTAGGTCACACTGCTCAAATATGGAAAAAACCTTGTTAACACTCTAGTGGTCGTATTTTTGACATAATTGTCATCAAACTTGGTCAGTATGCTTGTCTATTTAATTGCTCGAATGCGTTCGAACATGACTCATCTCGGATGAAAATCTATGTCACAAAAGCTAACAATAGAAAAATCTTTTAAACACTTAAGTGGCTACTGTTTTAATCCAACTATACTGAATATTGGTCTGAAAGTTTGTTTTGATGATTATTAAGGTGTCAATTATCACTGAAAAGCATTTTTTTTATAAATTAATAAATTGTCTTCCAATGTACGTAACATAATGTATGTAACATAAATAATTAAGCATAGCGGCAAATCGCACGACCACGGGGTTGATTAAAAAATGTTGTTGCTAAAATAGCCATAATGTGTGAAATAATAATTTGTTTGTCCCGTTAATCTGATAGATATTACATTGAGTTTATGGACTTTTGTACGGATTCAAGGGCTTGCTTAATTTACATTCAACCTCGTTTTCTAACAATGTCAAGTAAAACAACAACAAAAAACAGACATCAACAACAACAAAAAACAGACATCATTTGATAACCGCCTCCGTGGTCGAGGGGTTAGAGTCGATGACTTCTAATCCAGTTACCTCTCTGGCGTGGGTTCGATCATGCTTTGGTAGTTTAGCGCGGAGGAAGGTAGTCTAGTACTGGTGTAACTCTCCAGGAACGATGGTTAGGAAACTACCCGCCTATATGACTGAAATACTGTTGAAAAAGGCGTAAAATGAAACAAACAAACAAACAGACATCATTTTTATGTGAACGCCTATATGATTTGTGGTAAGGGGTCCCTGACAAATTTCTAAACAATTTTTACGATTGTCTAAGGATGATTATTTCTCTATGAATCAATAAAAAAAGATATTACCAGTGAATGCTTTGTATAAATTGTTCGCCAGTAAATCGAACTCAGTACTAATAAACCTGGGACAAAGTATGAAATTTATTTTATATCCCAGTAGAAACTGGATCTCTATCCCGTGCATAGATGATATTCATGATAATAGAAGTCAAGAAGGTCAGATCATAATGATCGAGTAATACCTTTTATTTCTATTAAAATATGTGAAGAATTTATATCAATTTGGTGGAAAAAAATATAATATCCCGTTCTTATTTGTACATCTACCACGGACTTTAAACGATTGTCAGAAGCTCAGTTTTTTGTTATTTTACTTTATATATTAACGGAATTTCATACACGAATACACAGGCAGAGGAGTGTATACTGGTATAATATAATAATGATGCTGCTGATAATAATAATAAACTTCAAAAGTGAAACAATTAAATAGCCTGCTAGCGGTGCGCAAATGCGTTCCATTCCCCCCCCCCACTGAGTACCTCAAATGTTACCGATAGTCACGTGACATGTGCGACAGATACCAGACGGACAGTAAATCACGTTAAGATTTTAAGAAATTCCTGCTATAAACTGATATTAATCAGCAGCTTTTTAATTGGTCAGATGTCACTGGGTCATAAAATGTTGTTAGAGCATGTTTCCGCAACTTGTTACCCTCTCTGGTGCGATATTTGTGTGTTATGCAATTAATAAGCGTGAAATGTAGGGGTCCGAGAGAGAACAGCCAATTTATGACACTTCGTTTGATGCGGGTCGGACTAACTTTGAATCGGCATAACTTTTTTAATAATCAAGCAATTAACATGCGGTTTAAAGCACATGAAAGGGGGTTCATTTACGGAGGGAACTGTGTCAGGGATTTTTGTTTGCTCAATCAGCGACTTAATTATCTTTAATTACGTAATATGTATGGTGAAAAAAGTCGCATAAAATGTTTGTAGTTACGTAAAATTTTTTTGAGAAAAGATAGAAAAAATTTGAGACATGGTTCCCCAGATATTATAAGTAAGTTTATATTCCAAAACTTTGATGACAAAAAAATAAAAAAATGACTTTGATATGACGATTTAAAATTTTAGGATTTTTATTCAAAATCAATCATTTACAAAGGCATTTTTTTCAAATATGTTATTTTTTATGATTATCAACGACATTTAATGCACAAAGATTAAATAAATAACAATTATTATTATAATAAGTTGGTTTAAATGACATTTGTGTGAGTACCACGGAAAGTGTCTGTTGTCGCCTTAAGTCAAGGTTGAATATAGGTCACCTGGGGTAAAAAAACATGGTCACACTGTCCAAATGTAGAAAAATCTTGTTAACGATCCAGAGGTCACATTTTTGACTAAATCATGATCAAACTTGATCAGGGTGCTTGTCTAAATTATTGCTGGAATGGGCTACACATGGGTATTCTCGGATAAAGAAAAGGTAACATGAGCTTTAAATAGAAAAATCTATTGGCTACTGTTTTGATCCAAATAAACTGGAAATTGGTCTGAAAATTTGTTTTGATGATTTCTAGGTCAGACTCTAATATGGATCACCTGGGTCAAAAACTAGGTCACACTGCTCAAACATGGACAAACCTTGTTAACACTCTAGTGGCCACATTGTTAATTCAATGGCCATCAAACTTGGTCAGGATGATTGTCTACGTAATTGCTCGGATGAGTTTTAACATGGATCATCACGGATGAAAAACTAGGAGCTAAACAAAGAAAAATCTTGTTCACACTCACACAGTGGCTACTGTTCCAAATATCATGGACATTGTTCTGAAAGTTTGTTTTGATTATTTCTAGGTCAAGTTTTAATATGGGTCACCTGAAGTCAAAAGCTAGGTCACAGCTCAAATTTACATTCTCGTGGTCTTTTTTTCAAAGATATCATACGATAGCTGGCCAGGCACTCAAAGCAATCTATAAACTTAAACTGTATATGAAAAAATTCACAGCTCTTTAAATGAGACGTGTTTTAGAACTTTTTAATAAATTTATTGTTCTAATTTTAAATTGCTGATGTGCAATTTGGGGCTTTGCGGAAGTAAAGAGGCTTAAAAACATTCATTTTCATTTTGTAAAACATTTCTAGGTGTAAGACTGTAGACTCAGAACACCTTTATTTATAGTGAATAAGTCTGAATGACGCTTAGAAATACATGTTTAATTAGAATAATTAAATATTGGTTCAAAATCATAAAGATGGATACTAGTAAATATGTTAAGAAAACTTATACTATGATGCTAAATGACACACAAAATAAACCAAACACAAATTGTTGGGCAATCTCTTTAAAACGTTTGTTAAAAACCTTTAGGTTTCCACCATGATTATGCCAAGGTAACGAAAAAATATTTATTAATTTGTTGAAGCAAAGACTAAAAGATCCTTAGTAAATCAATAGAAAACTCAACACGTGCATCCTCTTGCAGGTTATTTTCAGAGTTTCGTTTTAAAGAATACTTAAAAAAAGATACATGTTGTTAAATTTCGAATTGCATTTAAAAGATTCCGATTGTCAGCACACAAATTAGCAAATTAAAAACAGGTCGATGGCACAAACCAAATAAAATACCTAATAATGAAAAAAATTTATGTATGCAAACTTATTGAAGACGAGTCTCATTTCTTATTAGTGTACATGTATATAAAAACTTAAGAATAAGATACATTGACATTTTTAGAAATATCCTAATATATTGAAATTTTTTGAACATATGAAATCAGAAAAAAACATACACTTAAACAGTAAACTTTCTCCTTACCATGTCAGCAGTGACAATGTTTTCCTCTGTCTTTTTATACCTGAACCACAAAATGTGGGTGGGGGTGGGGGGTTATAATAGATTCACTCTGTCGCGTCGGTCGGTCCGTCCGTCCGTCCGTCCGTCTCCATTATCGTGTCAGCTCTATAATTCCTATACCAATTAAAGGATTTTCTTCAAACTTGGTTCAAATGCTCACCTCAACAAAGGAATGTTCAAAACCCATTTTGCCCATGTGTCAGCCCAAGGTCAAGGTCACAATTGAAGGTCAAATATCAATCAATCAAATATTAGACAGTTTTTCGTGTCCGCTCTGTAAGTCCTACACTTATTGAAAGAATCTTGGATCAAATGTTCACCTTAACAAGGTTATGTGAAGAACCCATGTGAACTTGTGCCAGCTTAAGGTCAAGGCCACACTTGAAGGTCAAAAATTGACTAAGAAAATGTTCTGAAATTTTAAAATGTACTTGAATATTTCTAAAACTAGAACAGATAATCATTTGAAACTTCAAA